GTTAAACAAATAAGTTTAAGAATTTTTTCTAAATAGCAATAATCTGTTTACATAAATAAAGTATTATAACTGAAACGTGACTGTATTTTACAAAATACTAGTCTACTAAAACACAGCCAAGACAGGTCACTTTGTAAAGGCCAGTTTTATACTCTTGGATAAGGTAACATGATTGCACATGCACCACATCATTGTAACTTCTGTATTGTATAATGAAAATAATAAATATATAATGTTAAGAGATTTAAGCTATTTAAACTAAACATTTTTGTTTTCATGTTATAATTTGTAGTCATTCTAGAATGAAAAAACAATTTATATTTATTTCCCCATTTTTTTTATGGTGGTTATGAGATTGGTCAAATTGATAGACCCCATATAGTTAGGGTAGAGAAAATAACAGACAAAAAGTTTTACTGAAAACATTCATTTGAAATGTATTTAGGATGTTTTAGAGATTACACAAATAATATCTGAGATTTTGGGGATGAAGAATAATTTTTATTGGGACATGAAAATCACTTCGCACTTGGACTAGTAATGAAACAGACTATTTTCACAAACAAATCTTTTGTAAAAATACTTCATTAAAAAAATCAGATTTTTTTTTGTTGTTGTTTACAAAAGACTTGGAATCATTAATAAAAGTCTACCAAATTTTATGAAGATACACATACGACATTAAAAGTTATAGTATAAATATTTAATGTGTGTATACAAACTTCTGTATTTTATGCTGAGCCCATTGCGAAAGGGTTAAATGACTATCCTACACTACTTATGTATAAGATTAGAGTTCTGAATGAATCTGATGACTATGTAGAGAATCTCTTCTGTGAAGATAAACCTAAATGGGTTAAAGGGATTCTACAACATGTGATACCCACCAAACACCTTTAATAGAAAAGAAAATTTGAGCCAAACGTTCTGATAAAAAATGACAAACTGATCAACTTATCTTGTAATAGATGCCAGATGTAGTGATGTTTTCAAAACGTGGGTGTTGGGAGTAAGTATTAAAACTCAACAGGTGATGATACTGATAATCTTAAGTCTATAATAAAATGAAAAAATTCATACACAAAACCTTAACAAATAAACACTGTAGTCTGAGATGGGGCTCTGAGTGATGACAGATCCATTCCCCAAATACCTTTCTCTTTGCAATGTATACTAAACACCCACCCCTCCCTTACACATATGATGATTCCATCTGTACTTCCCTAATCTTCATTTCTGCATAGTTTATCAGAGTTTAAAAAGCTTCCCATGCATGCACACACACACATTACTTTTTCAATTTCCATGTAATATGCAACCTTCTAAGATTGCTGCTTGACAAAGAAGAAATATTAGATGTTCCTATGCCTTTAAATTTCTTAGTAATACATAATTCTGTATCACATGATTTGCTTACCAGTAGCTCTGTTAACTTCATTAGTGTGTGCATTTTTTTTTGTTTTTCTTCTTCCAAACAGTGCAATCTTATCTGGAAGACAAACACTACCTTTCATCTTTTATATGTAATATGATTGTTTCCCAGCATGTCAATGGAGAAAAAATTTCTAGAGTCATATCCTCAAACTATAACTAGATAAAGGAGAAACTTTTTGTATGATAATCTTATTATAATTATAACATTCTTGATGTCAGCTAAAGTAAATTGCTATTTAATTGACAGTTTTATTTTACAAGTAAGTTAAGTTCCCTTCTATCACTTTGCACTGTCCTTATGATAAATGTTTTATACTGAAAAAAAAAAAGAGAGACATGTTTGCTTCTTTCAGTTTACTCTTGTGTTCTGTTCCTGAATATGCTGGGGGCACTTGCCCTATTGGTGGAATATGGAAAGGGCTCAACCTTTGGTTTTTCTCTTCTAGCGTTTACTTTGTTTACTCCACTGTCATTTTTATGCTGGTTCCGCCCACTCTACAAGGCCTTCAGGTAAGTGTTGTTGTTTTTTTTTGTGGCACAGCTGTTAAACTGCCACTAGAGATCTTTTTTTTATTTGAGGTATTTTTGGGGGTTTAATAATTAAACAAAAATAATGGAGTACATGAATTCATGTGAATTGCTTTTTGTGTGTGTGTGTGTGCATATATATATACACACACATACAAAACAAACTTGCACCTCACAATATCAAATTTCACAGGTTTAACCCTTTCCGAGTCACAGGCGAGCTAAAAGCTCCCCCAATCTTTTTATTTTTACAGTGAAAATACTTACCCAAATGGCATAGAACTTGATTCAAAATTCTATGTGAAAACAACTATTAAAAATTATTTGTATAATACATTTCATTGGTAAATTTTGAAGTGAAACACCTCAAAAATAATAAGGAATACTTTCTATAATCTTAGACATTTAATATTTGATTATTGTCCATCAGAATATTTTATACAGGTGGACCTCAGCGTTCATGGCAGCACATTCTTGGAAAGTGCCGTGAACGTCAAAACTGAAACCGTAAATATTAAAACTTAAACCTCATGGGGGAAAAAAATGGGGTTCAGGACCACACCAATGGGGATGAAGGGGAAAATTAAAACAGAAATAAAAGACAGTAAAATATATATATATATATATATATATATAAATAATAATAAAACTAAAATAGTATATTGTGCTGTATATGTCAAAATAAACTTAAACTTACAAGTGGTGATAGGATAATGATGATGCTGGAATGGGGGGTTACAAGGATGCAGAGTTCTCCCCATCATCAACCTGGGATGAGGGGGACCACACAGAGGTAGCACAGGATGGCGAATATGTGATGGATAGTGGATCATAAATATCAGATGACAGTGGAGCTTGTAAGCGTGAACTTCCAGGTAAGGCTGGAAGAACTTTGGGTGAGAGTGGAGCATCGGGTGAATGTGGAACTTTGGCTGAGCTCCTGCTGACTGTTGTAATGCTGGTGGCAGGCATGTTGGTGGTGCTTGACTGGTCGGTGGAGGCAGTGACCTTCTTAAAGAAGCTTGTTATTGTTCTTTGCTTCATTTTATTCTGTAAATTTATTTGTAAGGAATCATTCCAACATCCCTTTAAACTTTATTCCATAAAAGGGTCTGGCTCAACCACTTTATTAACAAGAACCTTGGCCTTGTACATTATTTTACTTAAATTTTTAATTGTTATCTGAGGTTTTGGTTCTTCAGTCTCATCCTCTTCCTCTCCTTCACTCTCCTCATCAGTGAGTATGAGCTCTGCAAGATCCTCCTCCTTCAACTCCTCTTGGTTTGAGTCGATGAGTTCCTCAGCCTCTACCATGTCCTTGTAGCCTTCTCCACAAAAAATTTTGTATGCCAAATGAACAATCCTCTGCACCTCTTCATGCACAGAGGGAAAGCCTTTGAAGTCATTCACTACTTCAGGCCACAGCTTCCTCCAAACTGCATCCAAGTGTGCTGTTTTATTCTTCAAAAGACTTCTGGATGTTATTAATACAATTTACAGTGTTATAGTTTTTCATCAATCAGTAACTGAGAGAGAGAAAGATCATTCTCCATCTCGTCCAGTATTCTTGCAAAGGTAGGCGAATGTAATAGGTCTTGAAGGTTGTAATGAGACCTTGATCCATAGGTTGTAGGAGGCTGGTGGTGTTGGGATGTAGAAAGATTTACCTCCATATTGTGGTGAGTGAATTAGAGACTTACAGGGTGGCCAAGTGCATTGTCCAGCACTTTTCGACTAGAAGTTTTTCTCCTCCTTGAACAAAAAGGTATGGCTTGGCATCTCCGTCCAGAAAAGGCCAGTCTCGTATGCATTGAACACCTGCTCTGGCTTATACCCCTTCTCCTCAATCAGTATCTTGAGCTCACAGTGGACATCATTTACTGTACATGTCACAATGTTTTGGTAAAGTAGATTCAAAATTTGATTAAACTACTTTCTTTTCACAGTGTACCAATAAATATGGCATAAAAACATAATCCATAATCCATATTTTAATAGTATACAAGTTTTAAGTTCTTAATTTTATAAGGTAATATTTTTAAAAACCCTAACTTTTTCCTAGTAGGAGAACTGTAAGTCTAGGCATCTCCTCTTCTCTAATTTATTTACCATTCCTCCAAGATGTATGAAATTCAATGTTTTCTATAGAGAGGATTATCAGTTTCACTTTCAGTTCGAGCTTTATTCCCACAGGAAACACATCGATGAGCTTAGATGGGTTTTTAACAACTCTTGTTGCATAGTTAGAAAGCCTGAAAAATTGTTATAGTTATGGACATTGTCTGCTTTTTGCTTGTTATTATTGTGTGTTCTTTAATGCATTACTTAAATAAAAAAAAAAATATTTAATACTATATTACCATTAGTATTTGCTTGATCTCTAGACCATTAATCGGCGCCACCCCCACACCTCCAACTGCAGATGTCAAAATGGTGTACATTTTAGGTCACCATGAATAGTCAAAACCGTAAATATCAAATCAGCAAACATTGAGGTCCAACTTGTTTTATGTTCATGAATATATTTCTTTTGATATCTGATTTTGCTAATTTAAAATGTTTTCAAATAGTTCTTAACATTTACATGCATTGTAATAACATATTCAGCTTGTAATGATTACAGATTATAGTTGAAATATTTAAACGGTGCTAGTGATTATGTGCTTATAATGGTTGAAGTTTACATAATGAAGTATTACCGAAAGCTCTAAGCCTTTGATAATTTTGTTATTTTTAAAACTTACTGTTACTCTAATAATTAAACCAATTCTTCTGTTTTAACAGAAGTGATAGCTCTTTCAACTTCATGGTCTTCTTCTTTGTGTTTTTCTTTCAACTGGTGTTGGCTATCCTGTATTCTGTAGGGATTCCAAATACTGGAGCATGGTAAGTTTTGTCTTATTACTGTGCATTAACCCTTTTGTAATGGGCAGGTCAAAGTGTTCATGTCACAACCGTTTACAGAGATATATTTAAAATTTAACTAAACTACTTTTCTATTATAAATGTATATGAATAAACTTGGCATCAAAATGTAGTTAACCCTATCTGCAAGGGCATCCTTTACTGAGCATGTCACAAGGTATTTAATGACTTGTATTCAAAATTTAATTAAACTACTTTTTATTTATGTTATAACAACTAGTATAGCATAAAATCATAGATAATCAATCATCCATGTTTTAATAGTATATAAGTTTTCAGTTCTTAATTTTATAAGGAAATATTGAAAGAAAATTCTCAATCTCCACTAGTATGAGAACTGGTATATTTGCTCTCTAGGTATTCCTTCTTCTCTAATTTATTTACCACCCCTCCGAGAAGTTCAGAATTTAATGTAAATTACTTATTGTAATATAGATACTACTCAGGCAAAGCATAATTTTTATAGTTTTCAATCTTGTTTGTTTAGGGCCATAAATTGGAAAATCAGATTCACTCCCCATGCCTGTGACATCCTCTTTCACAAATCGCTAATAGTTTTCTCTGACATTTTATACTATATTATTTATGAACAATGGAAAGCCAAAGTTTTAATCTGTCAAATGGCTTATTATATTATGGTGTTTTCTGTTCAGAGACTTGTCTATTTTGCTTCCAGTTCAAACTTTATTTCCATGAGAAACACATTGACAAGCTTAGCTGAATTTGTAATTGCTCTTATTGCATAATTAAAAAGCCAGAAAGATTATAATAACTATAGGACATTGTCTGCTTTTTACATATTATTATTCTGTGTTCTTATGGGTCGTTTCATTAAATAATAAAATTATTTAGTGGGGTAGTCCTATTAGTATAAAAAAGTAGGCATAAGTTTCATTGACAGTTGACAAAAATCCTAGGTAAGTACTATATTTCTTGTTTTTCATTTGTTTTCTTCATTTATTATTATAAAAGTAACTAAAATGATACTAATTTAGGAGGTTTTAGGAATTACACAAATGAAATTTGAAAATTTGCAGATGAAGAAAAGTATTTTTAATCTTAACATGAAAATCATTTTGCACTTGGAGCAGTCAACACTCTGACACCATATAATTATGGACAAATTTTAACAAAAATTTGTTTTTTTGTCTACAAAGGACTTTTATTGTTTACTGAAAGCTTGTCAAATTTTATGAAGTGGCATTAAATACCTTCAGACTCATAATATTTATACTACCTTGGTTACATGGTGGTTAGAACGTTGTGTAAAATACACAAGCCCATTGCAGTAGTGTTAAGAACATAATTTCCTTTTGCACACGTAAGTGAAAAGAAAGTGACTGGTGTAACTGGAAAAAAAGATGTTACTCCGTACTAAACATATGATCAGAATTTTTGACAGAAAGAAAGAGAAAGAACATGTCTCTTAAATATTTTTCGTATCTACAAAAAAAGTTTTTAGAGCTGAAAAATAAAAACAATAATTAGTATTACCAGATAATCACACACAAATATTTTATATTTTCATCATGCAACTCTACCAAATAATCATATACATTCTTATCATGTGACACTACCACTTAATTGCATGTAGGCTTATTGAATTCTCATCATGTAGCACTACAAGTTAATGTATACAGTAATTTTCCAAATATAATATGCTCCCAAGTATAATAAGCACCCTAATCTTCATGAATAAAAGAGTCAAATTTGTCTTATGACTGTAAATAATTTGTTCCTAATCTTTTGCAATACTGTGTCAAAATAACCCTTTGATGACAAGAATGTGGTAGTGTCCGTATAATCGTTAATTGCGCATTCACCATAGTGCTTGCTGTCTTTACAAGTAAACACACTAAGACTATATCCTTTGTTACAAAAAAAATTTCCATCTGTAAAGTAAGATAGTGTGAAACACTTGCAATGTGACTTAAAAATAATCACAAAAAAGTGTTCATACAGTTAGAGCAATAACTTGTGGCACTGTTAAAGTTACCTAGTAAGTCAGTTTATTACAATAGTATTAATTTGTGAGCATGATATACTTCATTTATGTTCTAAAATTTTAAACTTAATTGGATTGAACCTTGCTATTTCAACTGTAAAATGTTTGAGTTTAAATGTCTGTTAAGTTGCTTGCTGGTATTAAAATGTAAAGAAATTTTTGAAATGCTATTTTCCAGTGGCTTTGTGAATGGTATTGCTACCCTTCAAACAAGACCTATTTCCATCAGTAACTATGCTGTTGGTGGAATTGTCCTAATAATTGGATTTTTGTGGGGACTGGTTGCTCTACTTACAGGGTTTATGCTGATGAAGGTAAGATAAATTTATTTACTTCATTACTATAATGCATCTTTATTAGTATTTTATTGATTAAGTTATCTTACATGCTGCAAGTAGAATATGTAATGACATATCTTTTGGTTTTTTAATATAAGGTTATGCTTTTATCATTTAGTCGTCATGTTTGCTGTCAAATAATTTGAAAATTGTTTTCAACTATTACTTTTGGATGTTTGAAAATGTAATGCTAAAAAGAGACAACATTTTCTTTATTAAAAAAAATAGTTATATACTACTTTCGTTTAAGAAGAACCTTAAGACAACATACAAATTACTAATTTCTTGAACAGACAGAAGAACCAACAAGTATGTTTTTTGCATATAAGACTGTCCCCCATTGGTTCAGTGGTAAGTTTATGAGTTTACAATGCAAAATTCTGAGTTTCCATGCAGTGAACAGAGTACAGGTAGATCATTACGTAGGCTTGCACTAAAAATAAACAAAGCATAAAGAACCTGAAACCATCAAAAAGTTCATAACTAAGAATACCTTTCCAGTACAAACTGTTAACGATATTGGTCATTATTTAAGTGGTATGAATATTCCTAAACAGCCAAACTGAAATGTTACAAGGTAAATTACTTTAGTTTTAGCACATACCTGAGAACAATCTATTTTAATTTGGAAATCATGTACATAAATTGTGCCATTGAGTTTACACGAGTGAAATTAAGTTGTCTTTAAACCTCAGTGTACATTACCATTTTTTCAGATTTAAAGATCCAATATCTATATTCAAGATTTCAGCTATTATATATGAGTATAAATATCCTGAATATTATTTAGGTTATGTTAGGTCTTCTACCATTTCACTTGAAATTCCCATATTAGATCATGCAAATTTTTAATCAACATCATTCTCTAACATTTAAAACCATATTTATTAAACACATCAACGAACCTGTAAGTAAAGGACAATTTATAATTCTTCCAAAAGTGGATAATTAACAAGGATTGGTGATAATAAAAAATATAGTTCAACCAAGATGAAATGAGAAAAATTGTGCAGTTGGTTTGTTGAAACAGATATCTGATATACCAAAAACTTTCCAATTGAAAAAGACATTTTGAACATAATTATTCATAGAAGAATGTTCTTTGGATGTGTCTTTCACTTAATCAGTGTTATTTAATTATACATGGCACAGTATTTATGTCAGTAATTAATTTACTAATTTGTAGGTACATAATATCTACCGTAACACTGGTGCAAGCTTTGCCAAGGCACAACAAGAGTTTGCCCAAGGTGTTCTTCGTAATGAACATGTCCAGACAGCAGCCGTTGGAGCTGCTCAAACTGCAGTCAACCAGTCTTATGGTGGTGGTGGCCGATACTAGGTACGATGATACAGTAGTTGATACAAATTAGTGGTTATACCGTAGTAATATGCATGATACTACTTAACTCTTGTTGAAAGTGTCATTCAACTGGACTGACCCCATTTCTGTAAAGCTATACATTGCATTATTTACTGTAGTTTTAAATGTAATTTCACAAAAGTTTGACAGCTTTTACATTAAATTATAATAGTTATAAGACATTATTTGCTTTGTTCATGTTATTATTCTGTGTTCTAAGGTGTAATATTTAACTAAGTAAACATTTAGTCTACTATTACCATCATTATAAAACAAAAAAACTAGGCTTAAATTTCATCAGCGACCAACAGCAAATAAGAGGTCAGAGGTAAATACTATATTTCTTGTTTTTCATGTACATTCTTTATTTATTGTTATAAAAGTAAGTAATTGTAAAAATTAGAAACTTGTTAGGTAAAATAAATAAGGAAAAAAAAAATTAAAATTTTTAACAGAAAGTAGGGAATCGTTGGTTATTCGTAGAATTGATATAAGAAGTATCTAAAACAAAATAAATGCCCTCGTCCTCCCTGCTTTACCAGGTAACATTTAGAATTTACTGTTGAGATATAGTTTATTCATCCATAACACATAACTCACACGATTTAATGTTTTGACATCATTTATTACTACTTAACATGTCTACATACAGTATATCGTTTAGATCTAGTTTGCTACTCCTTAACTTGTACCACTCAGAATATAATGTTTAGTTATAATTTCTTACTCCTTAACATATACCACATAGTATATTATGTTTAGACATAGTTCATCACTCCTTCACATGTACAAAAAGAACTTAATGTATGGTCATATTTAATTACTCCTTACCATGTAAGCATAGACATTAATGTTTAGTTACTCTGTAACATGTAACACATAGATATTAAAATTTTGTTCTGGTTGATTACATTTTAACATGTACACATAAAAGTTATTGTTCACATAGACATTAATGTTTAGTTACTCTGTAACATATAACACATATATATTATAAATTTGTTCTGGTTGATTACATTTTAACATGTAACACACATATATATATTATAAATTTTGTTCTGGTTGATTACATTTTAACATGTACACATAAAAGTTATTGTTCACATAGACATTAATGTTTGGTTACTCTGTAACATGTAACACATAGATATTAAAATTTTGTTCTGGTTGGTTACATTTTAACGTGTACACATGAAAGTTGTTGATCATGTATAGTTCATTCCTTCTTTGCATGTACACATGGAAGATAATACATAGTCTTAGTTAATTATTCTTTGCCATGTACACATAAACTTTAGAGTGGAAGCTCTTATAATTAAACATATTTGCTCTCATTCTGTGCTTTCTGGAAAAAAGATGAATAGTTCAGATATTATTTTTCAACATGATAATGATCCATCTAAAAACATGGTAAATACTATAAAACAGTGTACAAGTTGGAAGAAAACAGAGAAAATATTAGCACTTTTTGAATGGTCTCTTCAAAATTCACTGACCCTAGAGTTAATACATGTGCATGAAATGACTTTGAGTGGACAAAACACCAATCAAAATCACAAAAAGAAGTCTGGAGGATTATTCCAAGGGGATATTTGAAAGAAGTCCAAAGATACCCTTTGATTTTTTTCATTCTTAAAGAAGAAATATGTAATAAAATTTCAAGTCTGCTATTAAGATAGTATTTTTATCTAGTTTCTGCTTTAAAAAATTAATGTGATTTGATTTAGTATTTCTATTATTTTGAGATTGTGATATTTCCAAAATTTTGTTGTGAGACAGTGTTTTGAACAAACATTACAAATACTCCCTTCATCTTAGGATTTAATTTTTTCTTTATTGTTGGTTAAAAAGTTTTATTTTATTTGTCCAATCATCTTTATTAATATTCATTTACATATTTATTTTGATATTTTGCCAATTGCAGTAGTCACCATTTCCATCTGTAAATCATAAAAATCATTGGAAAAAAAATAAAGATTTTACTGGGGACTTAGGACCTCATCTTTCAAACTGGTACCACAGTTACCTTTTTCATTATTGGAATCTTGATTTTTGCTAACAATATATTTGCTCGAGACCAATTTATAGCTAATAAATATATTTTTTTTCAATAAATAATAAGTTCTCCCTTCAATGTTTTCAATAATACAGAATACTGTAATTTTAAAGTTATAAATTTTCCACTTCCTGACATTCCAGAGAAAATACAATATAATGTTTATCTGTCACAACTCATTAGATTTGCTAGAATTTGTATTTTGGTGTATCGTATAGAGACTTGACACTAACACAAACTTTTGACTAGTGAATGTTCTAAGTTTTGTGGTAAACAAAGTTTATTTTAAAGTAAAATGTATAACATGAACAAGTTTGCCACTTTTCATGTAGTTTTCAAAAAGGATATTATGAAAAATGATCTTATAAATTGACATTCAAGCTACATATTATGCATGACTTTCCTTATCCTTACCTTGTATAATCTAACACAAACTTAAGCATTTCACCTTTCATAGTTATTTTACTCAACATTAATAAAAGTTATGCTAAGTCAGTTGTCTTTTAAGGTGTGATCATTGACTCAGAATCAAGCATAATTAACAAAATGTAAATAACTTTTTTCATCATAAATTAAATATTCCAACACACAAGTCTAAGCATTTATGTTTTAACACTTATAATTTTATTGAACTCTACCAAGAGATATGCTGGGTCAGTCATTTACCATGTGGTCATTGATTCATTCAGTATTTATCACACCGTAGAGATTTAAAACTATATCTGTTATCTCTAACTCTCCTTAAATTCCATGCTAACTGTTCTTAAATTATATTTCCACATTTAAGAACTGGTGACCTTTAACCTATTCTCTTCATGAACTCTCTTTCATGTCTGGCAATTGGGAGACTCGCCTTAGCAAAGTCACCTTAAATATGCTAGTGAATTAAAACAAAACTTGACCAGTTGCAAAAGAGGTCATTAAACACAGGCTGTGCTAATTGTTCTGTGGACATCTAGCTGGAACGCACCATGTACTAAACAAGACATAAGTTCATATATGTCATGTAATTCATAGTTGTGTTCAGTATTAAATTTAGATAATTCTGTGTGTATTTTAGTTAATTCCAGTGTTAGATAGATTTAATATGTAACATTGAATTTCTTAAGTAGTAATAACTACATTGACCAAACATGATAGGCATGAAACTTTACATCTAACAGTTCTGCTTTGGTGTTTAGTGATTCAATAAGCAGACCTAACCTCGTCAGATGTTCATGGGTTGAGGGTCAAACAACAAGAATGCCCAACTAACGATCTTAGTCAGGGTGATTATACAAGTTGTTTGTCTGTAGATTTTAAGCGAATCTTCTGGTAGAACATTTTGCATAATTGATGTCTTGTCATAGAATACAATTTCTGTAGCTTTATAACATAATTTAACATATAAACATTCTTAAAAATGAATGTCTAAAGAAACTAAAAAAAATTCTGAGATCTATGATTAGTACCCAAGTGTTCTAACCTTCCCATTAGATAGTTTCATAGCAGATATAAACCTGTACTTTGGATTGGGTAGTAAAATTCTAAAACAATATATAAGTGCATTGTTTAAAGACCAGACTCCTTAGTGCTATGCAAAAATGAAAGTTGGACTTTTTTTTGAGAATTTCACTAAATAAAGGTTACATAATGAAAAATGCCAATTCTACAACTTGCTTTAGTAAAAATCTGTAGAAATAGGATTATTATTTAAAAATAAAGTTAGAAATTTGTTATGCAGGTGTACACTCACTGGTCATGAAAGGGTTAATGTATTAATGCAGTCAGTACTAGGCTATGTTTCTGCAATTGTAATTTGGTGCTGCTAATAAATTTGTGAAAATTTTAATATTGAACTTGCTCAACTTGGGAAAATAAAGTGAGTCACAGTATCCAACTTTTGCACAACACTGTATATTGAAACACTGTTTTAGGACCTAAAATAAATGAAGATAGACAATCAAACACTGATTAATGTCACTATCTTTAATTCACTCATAGTAAATTTACAGATTAATAATTTTGAAAGTGAAGTATTACACTAGTTTGTCTAATAGATACAAAATACAAAACCTTGAAATTATAACAAAGTAGACAGCAAATGGTAGTTTATATTTGTGGGTCAGTTACACAACTGCTCCTACTTTAGATTTTAATATTTAATGAATTCCATGTATAAGGTTTGAAAATGAAGATTACTACTATAGATATTTCTTCATCCAGGATACATTTTAATTTTCAGGTATCATAGCTTGTGTTGTTGTATTGTTTATCTGTCTTTTCTGTGTTACCATCCATCTTATTATAAACCTGTGGAAATTACATACTGTCTGTATGTTTGTCTGGGTGTCAAGATGTTTTAGTGTTCTTTTATTCATTTAAATGTAGTGTAACTTTTCATCACACCCACATACACAAATCAAGGAACTATGTATTCCTTTTGGAAAATTCCTAGCTATTTATAGGCTATAGTTCTCACTACATAGTCACTATTCACAACTAAAATCACTGTTTTTATATTAAGGAACTTTGAAAGACCGATTTTATGAGTTATGGTCAGAGGTAAAGTCAGGAAGTACTGAAAATGATTTTTAAAAAAGCAGAAGATAAAAGAAAATAGTAAACCTTATTAGTTTATGGTAATCTTGATAAAGAGATTAAAAGAGGCATAACTTCATAGATGTTTTTGGTGATAACAGTACTACCACAAATTAATCAGTCGGTTAAATTTTATCCAGTTTAGTGAAAACAGTGAATGAAATGGGTAGAAAATGCAAATATTATTAGATTGCTTCCCTCTGTTGTATGAAAATTAAATGCACCAGCAAACAGTCAAATGTTCATAGTTAGACTGTGATTGAGTGCCATCTAACCAACTGGATATTGCCACACCAGCGTAATGCACATAAAAGAACACGTACTCATACTGTTCCCAACTGTAATATGGAATGCAATTATGACTCCCTGGACAGAAATTTGACATGATCAACATGTAGAAATGAGAGTTTTGACTGGAGAAGGCTGCTCCATTCAACATTTTTCAATAGTTGTATGGAAACTTTGAAGTAACTTAGAATTTACTATTTATGTGATGCACTTCAATTCAATAACAATCTCACCAATGACAGCTGTGAGTACTGGTATGAATGTTACCTCCAGAACAGTAAGTTACATACAACACAAAGTGGCATCAGACTTCAAACTATGGGATAACCAAAACTGAGGAGAGTGTTTGTATGGATAATTGCAAATTGAAATTGTTTGGCAACAATCAGTAGTTGTTTGTTTGAAGGCAGAGAGGAGAAGGTTGTCAAAGTCAATGTACAGCATCTGTAGTAAAGGATTTTAGGGGAACCAATACAAATGTGGGCTGCATCTCAGTCAATGTTGTATGTAATCTATAAAACAAAACTATGGCACCCCGTCTGCTGACAGGTGCAAGCCAATTCATGTCCATTATGTTATTCCCTCAGAAACAAAACATTTTGAATTGAGAATATGTCTTCTAGCAAGACGATGATACCAAGCATGTAGCAGATGTAGTAAATTAATATCTGGAAATAAAAAAAGACTGATGAAACACTTGCATCCATGAAATGGGCTGCTAAAAGTCTCAGTATCAATATTATTAAGGCTGTATGGGCTTATACAGGGTGTATACAGTCAGGGGAAAAAATGCCTAAAGTCAGGGAATTTTTTTTTTTTACTATTAATCACTAACAGAAATGTATTGGATAGCTACTACATCTATTATATAAGCTCAGTAATTCATTTAAAGTAGTTAATATGGTGATTTCTGAGCATAATTTCCTCTACATATGTATATTTGTATAATTTGAATAGTCAGGGAAAAACTTGGAAAAGGTCTGGGAATTTATTTTTTAAAGTCCTGTTTACACCCTGTTATATGAATACTAAGAATGTCAGAATTGTAGTGAGTAATGCAGGATATATGGAACAATATCTTACAGTCAAACTCTGATAAACATATGGTAGCATAAACAAAGTGTACTGCTCTGTATTGGTATTGTTAAAATTGTAAGCCTTTGTCTTCCAACCAAAACTATTACCAACTGACCACTTGTGAGAGGCCTATTATTTTTACTGCATGTCCCTGCACGCACACAGCTTAGAGGGGAACATTGATTCTAACTATGTTTGATAGTTTCACTGGGCTTGTTCAACAGTAGATCTTCTATTTGTGTTCCAGTCCTGAATAACTGCAATATCTCGCATGTAACAGCAAAATATTTTACTCAAGTTAAAGTGCTTTTGAGTCTTATCTTGGCATCACAGATGTAATTTCTGTTTTTTGTGGTTGATTTCGTGTGACAGAGGACATTTTCTTTCTTGATATAGTGGATTTACTCCAAAAATAAAAGAGGTGTATTTTTTGTGGTTCATCTTCCATAACTATATACAATATCACAAACATGTGAGTACCTTCCAGTTCATCAAAATAAATTCCAAAACTGCAGAAAAAATTCTTCTGTCCATCATGTTATAATTATTCAACTCACAGTAGTTAATAGCAATCAGTTAAAAACCACTACAGGGGCTACTTAGCAACATTTGGTAACTGTGATCTAATGTTGCACACAATCATTGTCACTAGCTAATTAAGCTAGAAATGGAACATTTATTCTATATTCAGCAATCATAGATCCTACATATCACTGACTAGTCTAAAAAATGTACCCAAGTTATGTGGTCTCATCATTGGAGAGATTGGTGGTGGATGCGAGACTGATGTGGAAATGAATTAAGATTTAGAGGAATCCCATGTATTGCAAGCTGAATTTTGCATGAGTATCCAGCTTGGTGCTAAACTAACAAGGATCATTTGTGTTGGCTGTTAATATAAGCCCATCATTAAGTGCTTTGGAATTTTATTGTAGGTTTCTAAACAATAAAAATGTGAACATTTTTAGTCATTAAATGCAGTACAAAAAGCCCATTTTTAACAAGTGGTATTACAACACATTGTTTGTAATCAGTTTTCTTTTATTCTTGCATCACACTCAAACATTCAAAGGAATTTGTGAACTAGTAATCTCAAGAGTGAAGTCTTGTACAATACTACTATATATATGTATATATATATATATATATATATATATAT